ATAAAATTTATATCATTTATATTAATAAACCATTAATAAACCATATGACCAGCTTATTATTAAGTATCAACAGGAACAATTCGGAAACAGCAGATCAACACTGACCAACATAAACAGTACGTTAGCCAACGCAAGACAGTGCTGTGGTAGGGTATCAAATTTGGATTCAATACATTCAGCTCATTTCATACCTTGGCACCTTCTGCAGGCAGCTCGTGACGTCTGTGTTTCCTCATAAATCCTGGATCAGAACTTATGCGGTTGTGCCTTCCATTTATGTTTGAAATTGCAGTCAGTCCTGGTTTGGGAGAAGCATCGCTCCCTATTCGACATCCTACCAACTGACTTGTCCCAAACACATCTCTGGGACACCAGCCTTCAAGGGGCATCGGTTGGTCTCTGGAAGGCACGCTTTCTGGATGATGCAGGTGTCTGCTTATCCTGTTGTCTGGTGGAATTGGAGGGGGTCTCTCGGGTGGGGGTGGTGGAGGATCACGCAAGGGAGGTGGTGGTGCTGGCAGAGGTTTGTCTTGCTTCCTCACCATACAAGGAGAAGACTAAATAACACAGTAAGTTAATAAAAAATAAAAGTTACAAATATGCATGCATATTTCTCTCATGATCAGAGAGATCACAAGATCACAAGAGTACTTGCCAGTAGGTCAAATGTTAGTCTTGTCTATGCATTCTGCAGAGAACCTGGCCTCTCTTCAGAAAGCTTGCCCTCATTGCTGCTGTTGCATGAGTAACCCAGGAAAGGAGTAGAAGGGAGAAAAGACACCTGACTGAGGCAGATCTGTCAGACCCATAATTTTTTTTTTTTTCCAGAATACTTTGCTTTCATTCTTTGAATCACTTATTTAGCTGTTGAAATGAATTTTGAGGAATGCTTGGAAAGAACAGACTTCCTGATTCAGAAAAAAACAAAATAAAACCTGCATCCAAAGGGAAGTGACTTAGTGACAGTGAATGAGCACAAAAAAGCAATGATTAGGGAGCAAGCGGAAGAAGAAAGCAACTACTTCATTTTTAATCATATACCTAGGGATGACTCCACTCTTTACATGACAAGCACTGTTCAGTGCCAAATTTGTTTGAACTGCAGTTCAATTTTTCAGGTAACACGCTTAGTACGTAGTTATGTTTGCAATTAGCTCATCTGCAAACAAACTCTGCCAGAGTACTTCCTTTCTCAGAATTGAATTGTATCATAAATGGTGAAATGTTTTCTAAAATTATGTGTACTAATACTAAAAAGCTGAAAACCAAGTTATCAGAAAAAAAAACAAACTTACACAGATAGCTGTACAGCTTCTAAGAAAACAAATCTGATAAAACCAAAAAATTTTCAGTAGGAGTAAATTACTAACAGCATTTTAGGGCCAGGTCTTTATGAGATGTTTTTCTCTTACCATCAGCTATCAGAAGAAATACAGGGAAGATTATTTCCCTTGTAAGGTGTAATTTTAATGGCCTCCAATAAGCCTACATATTATTACCACTTGAAGAGAAGGAGGTCACATAAGCTTTAAAGTAAGAATAGTACTTGCTCTCACTTCACAGGTTAGCCCACAGTTATATCTCAAGCAGCACCTCAACATGTTACTTAGACTGAAAATAAAGTTATTCTACCTGCAGGTCCATTCAGATAAATAGGACAGTATATTAAATAAAAAAGTGTTTAATTCAGCTGCTAGTTAAGAAAAATAGTTATTCTCACTGTCAAGGCAGGAATATAATGGCTGGGTCCAAATTTTCTGTTATAGTTTATTATTATAGTTACAGTTTTCCATTGCAGAAAGAGATAAGATTTTTTTGACTGAAGTAGCTGTCTTGGCAGGACTAAATTGTCCTTTTTTTTTAAATATGAAAATTTTAAAAGTATGAAATTATTTCCCTTGCACCTCCCAAATTCCAGCTCCTCCCTGCCCCTGGAAACGTTTCAAGGAAAAAACTAGCATTTTCAAAATAATGTCACCAAAAAATTTACAGCAATATTAATGGTATTTCTGATTTTCTGTTTTTTTTAAAAACACATGAACTTTGTAAAAATATACTTACTATTATAAAATTGATTTTTAATGGATGTGCCATGTTTAGCATATATCCTCAATGTGTTATAAATTCCCTTGTATAATATAAGAAGTGATGAAAGAAGATTAAAGAAACTATTCAAACTTCTATTTTTTCCTCTAAATAATAAACTGCTAGAATCTTAAGAGGAGGTTGATTTTCAAGCTTGAAGTGAAAATCTGACAAAATGAATAGGGTACTTCATACTGGATTATTACGAGCACACAGGTTTCAAGCCATGCTTTGAACTTGAATTTGAATTAATCATCTAAAAACAAAAAATTCAAATCTATTTCTCCTTCTCTATACAGCAATTAAAACGAAATGATCAACTTATAATAGAGAGCAACATAGTATTTGTTCTCCTTCATGCTTATCCACTCAAATAATCATTAAATCTTTAGTATCATTAGTTTCACAAAACACAACATACAATTTATTAGCTATAGAGTCACAATTATTTCCCTTGAAACTTGAGTCCTAATATATGCCTTTTAAGGTTTTGAAAGCAGTGTATTTGCACATATTTTTCTTGTAAGGATACTGTTGAAATTAAGCATAAATCATCATCAGAAACCAACATATAATTTTAATGAGATAATGACCTTTAAATTTATTTTCAGGAAACCTTCATTTCTATTTATTTTCATGAATCAGGGTTTATTACAGAACTGATCTCTTACAGCAATGTCTTTAAAATTCTGATCATAACCAAGTACAATATAATCGTCAGACAAACAGAGATCACATTTGACCAACACGTGTAGCAGTAAACATTTGACTATGTAAGGTATTATGCAAAGGTCCAGGCCAACTCAGGACCAAAGTCAACTGAAGGACATGAGAGACTTAATCAATGTGGATCTAATCTAAAGTTTTGCTAAGCCACAAGGAATTAAAGATCTTTCAGAGAGAGTAAACTCTTGAAAAAGAAAATACACATGGAAAATTTCAGAATAGTCAATCTTCCAAAACAAACAAGCAAGCTCACCTTGAAAACAATCAAATACAATTTCTCAGTATTCATCTATAAAGAAATACTGGTTCAGTAAGACTTACCTTTGGTGATCCAGTTGGGCTGGCACAGGGTGACCGTGCTACTCCCTTCTGAATAAGATCCAGACGAGGAGGTACAGGTGGAAGACTAAGATGTGGGATTTGCAGGGGGTCTGGAAGTGGTTTTCTTCTTTGTGCAAGAGGGGAAGATCCTGGGGAAGTCACTGGTGAATTCTGCCTCTCATTGCACTTCAAGACAGGAAAAAAAAATTAAAAAATTACTATTTACCTGATGATCAAATATAAACTTCTATGTCATGACTAAAACATTTGATACTTGTCAGGTAATTATTATTGATCATAATGGACACCCTGCTGCTCTTCTAATTAATAGACAGTATATGCGCTCATCTTACAGTTACTGAAAAAGAAGTCTACAAGTCTACCTCAAAACTAAGGTCCATGTTAACTTGTGATCAAAATAAAAGAATATATATTCCAGTAATTTGTTTAAAAAACAAGCAATCATTGCCATATGTGCTGGTTTTGGCTGGAACGGAGTTAATTTTCTTCATATTAGCTAGTACAGGGCTATGTTTTGGATTTGTGTGGAAAACAATGCTGATAGCACAAGGATGATTTCGTTATTGCTGAGCAGTGCTTAACACAGAGTCCAGGCCTTTTTTCTGCTTCTCACCCCGCCAGCGAGGAGGCTGGGGGTGCACAAGAAACTGGGAGGGGATACAGCCAGGACAGCTGACCCCAGCTGACCAAAGGGATATCCCACACCATATGATGTCATGCTCAGCAATAAAAAGCTGGGGGAAGAAGGAGAAAGGGGGGACGTTTGGAGTGATGGCGTTTGTCTTCCCAAGTCACCATTCTGCGTGACGGAGCCCTGCTGTCCTGGAGATGGTTGAACACCTGCCTGCCATGGGAAGTAGCGAATGAATTCCTTGTTTTGCTTTGCTTGTGTTCACGGCTTTTGCTTTACCTATTAAACTGTCTTGATCTCAGTCTACAAGTTTTCTCACTTTTACTCTTCTGATTCTCTTTGCCATCCCACGTGAGGGGAGTGAGTGAGCAGCTGGGTGGGGTTGAGCTGCCAGCTAGGGTTAAACCACGACACCACAAAAAAGGAAACAATCACAAATGTGGATAGAGATTCTACTATAGTACTGCTACTCTTGATGACCTCTTTATTAATAGAGTACTCCATCTAAAATTCTATCAATTACTTTTAAAAGCTGGATGTCTATGATATTGTCTGTTAACTACAGCCCATTTCAAATCATACTTCCATAGAAAATAGAATGTATGCGACTTCTGAAAACTTACGAATCAAAATCATCAGCAAGCCAGAAGGCAAAGAATTTAATTCTTTCCTCATTTATATGCTGATTTAGAAAAATCATTTTAGGACAATTTAGTTAGCAGATTTTGAACTAATGACACACACTTAACATTTCCGCCCCCATGACAAATTATGATGTATTTTTTTTTCTTGACTTGTCCTTTCAAGTTCATCAGAACTAAAGATTTAAATCCTCAACATAGGCTCCACCCATTTTTTCAACTAGTTCCTGAACCTGAGGTTCAGGAGATGATCTGTCTCAGTTTTAACAAACACAGTTTAGTTGTTTGCATAAATCAGTTAACGCTGTTTCTGCAAACTCACTGCACTGGTTTTGGCGTACTGCAAGTAAACCGGGATGTTTATGCTGTTCTGTGATTTCCCTGAGAGCAGACACGTGTAGCCGGAAGACATTCACACCAAGCATCAGCCTCAGGCCACTTGTGCATTGAGGCATCCTACTATTCTTGTTGCATAACTTGCTTATGGAGGCCAACAATCTGTCACCTTCTTAAGGCAAGCACAAAAAATTGCTCACAAAAATGCACCCATTTTTAAACTATATCACTTTGATCACAACTTTTCTCCTCTTTTCATAAGCTTTTTCTCATCAATGCTGTATGTCCCCATAGTGATGACAGGGATGAGATCAGGAAGTTCTTTAACAAGGTAAACAAGTAAACAACATTACCTTTCTTTACATATAGTGACTATATTAAAGCACCTGAAAACTTCATAAATTCAAAAGCAGAACCAGGAAAAGGACCTACTATACTGACTCCTTACTCAACGCTCTGTGTAGTATACCTTAGTTTAGTATTCTATTCTATACCACTGGGATTGTTACCAGATTTCCTTCAAAAATAGGAGCCATCACAGTATTACTGGATAACATTGCAAGAAAAAGCAAGAGAGGGGAGTGAGGAGGTGCTGAAGAACTAGAAGTCTGAGGTACAATTCCATTGCCAGAATGATTTTTTTGTCGATACTTAGGGTCTTACTACTTCTTCTACACGTCTAAGCTCAGTGTCACAACTACATGTTCAACTTCAAGAGACTGAGCAATTCAAGATTTGTGCTCTTCATGGCTACCAGGAGTTTCCCAGTTTCTCTTTTCAATGAAGAAGTGGTCACAATGCTTATACTAAACGGCTTGAATATAGTCCTTAAATTTTCTTTGTTTCCTTTAATTGGTGAATGCCCCTGACCTTGACTGGAAGAACATGAGGATAAACACATGAATGAATGATGTGCTTAGCCTCTCTGAACATTATGGCAAGTTGAATAACTAAGCTAGATATGCATCTCGCAAGCATGCCTGAGCAACCATAATTATAAAATGACTATAAACTGAATGTCAATTAATTTTCCTTAACAGAAGCATCTATCAGTTAAACAGCATAATAAGCATTGTATCATTTAATAGCGTTAGTTTTCAAAGTTTAGTTATACCTCCACCAAGCAGTCCTGAAAGACAAGCATCATGTAATATAATATACTCAATGCTTTGGCTTCAGCAGACAGAAAATGAATTTATTTCCCAAATTATTTGGAATAGAAGCAAATAAGCAGGTCACACCTCGAAAAAGGTACAATTATTTAAATTAAATGCAAATGTTGTAGTAAGTCTACATTGTATGTGTTGCACAATGTACTGTGTCTCAGTCAGCAGGGAATTGCTCCAGAAGAACTAAGAAACAATGCTACATGTAATAGGAGCTGGAAACAAAGAATAAGGAAAATAGGAAATACTGAAAACAGAGTACTGGACAGGAAACATTTGTTTGGAATTTAAGATGTTCTAATTGCCGTATCATCCCATTAATTGACTTAACTTCCTCAGAAAGCAACCTGACAGTCTCAAATGTCACATTACATGCAGCCGTATGGACCCACAGCTAAGTGAACAACATTGTAGCAATACCATTTTAAGAATATCCATCACGGTTTCTATATTGTGACCTTCTCTTACACAGTTCTGCTCTAAAGAATCATTAGGCAAAAATACACGCTCATCCCTCAGCGAGCCCACTGGCCCCATCCATGTCGGACTCTTTTTCTCCTGCCATAACAACAGCCCAGCTCCAGCAGAGACAGAAATCATGGAAATACTCACATTTAAAACCTAGTGGGGACTGATGCTATTTACAGATTTACAGAAACAAGTGGTTAAAAGACACACCTAAAACATAGCAGGCAGTAAGAAAAACTAGAATAATATGAAAACTCATTTAAAAGTTCAAGATTCTTGAAACCTGACATATTTTTAACTCAGTTGAAGCAAGAGATTTAATTTATGTGATAAACTTCTGGTTCCATACATATTTGGCATTTAGCTATCTCCACTCACCATATTCCATGGATGGTAAATCACAACTGCCAAAATGAAATGGAAATTTTTCAAAGTAGTAAGCATGTGAAAGAACTTAAATTCTTCAATTTAAGCTTACATCAATGTCTTGTTTCAAAATAGCAAAATAAACTTTCAGTCCCCTGAACTACTATTGCCTACAGCGACGATACTATTACTACATGCTGTGGTCCCAGAGACTTCAAAAAGGGAACTGATGATGACCAACAGGTTAAAGAATAACTTAAACGGCATGAGCAAAAGGAAAAAAAAAAAAAAAAAAAAAAAAAGCTGCAAACAAAAGCAGCTTCTCTCCCCCCTACAAGGAAGCTTAATCCATATCACCACTTGGTGCTGAAGTAAGAGAGAATGCTTTGCTGGGAGAAACTAAAAATTACAATTCCTTGTTTAGATTACTAAAAATAAAACAAACTAAGATATTCCACAACATCAAACATTCACTTCAGCATTCAATATCAGATTTCCACCATACTGCCATTATAAAAAACCCTATATTTTTCCTTTCCACCCCCATTCAGCCTGTCTAGGTGCATCATCTGATATTTGTTGACAGCTAGGTCAACAAGATGGTTGCATTTCATGTGGATACCAGGGCATGAACAGATATACATAATACGTACTCATTTTGGCAGGCTCTCTAAGGATGAAGATATTTAAAATTTTTCTGTTTGTCTGCTACTGGAGATTTCTGTATATTTTCTATTCACTGGAAATAAAGGAGCAATGAAAGCAGCACAGTGACAGAAAGATAAAAGAAGCAAGCGATTAGGACACAAATACTGGCAGTGACAGAAGACAGACGTTCAGTGTACAAAGGGGCTTTGCTACAACACACGCAGACCTGCGCAATAAAGATGTAATTAAGGAAAAGAACACAGACTCCTTTGTAACAACATGGACTTCATCTGGCTGGTATGACTGCCGCCAAGGGAAAAGCAGCTATGACTTACTTTGCAATTGTACTGTGGAGCAGACCATATGTGTTAGTCAATCAGATGTATTTATTACTGGGATATACTGGTATCAGTTTGCCCCTAGTGACTGTGAATTCAAGAACAATCCTGCTTCTGACATTGATTACAATTTCTAGTGAAGCTTCTTCTCACAGAAATATTAAGAGTCAGTCTACTGGATCAAGAGCTTTAGCTTCAAATGCCTTTTGGCCAGATAGGCACGTATGAAAAGCATGTTCAACACAAATCCTAACAGGTGACTCACTGAGGAATATTACCTTGATTGTTAATGTCCTGCTGGAAAAAACTCAGTAATTTATAAATTGCATAATGAGACATCTAAGAAGGTCCATGCAGACCTACACCAGAAGTGGACTTTTCATTTCCAAGTAGCTCCCTGAAGTTTCTTTATATTCAGGTAAGAGTAACTCACATATTTGCTATTTTTTTGTTAGTGTAACTTGTGACCTCGACAGATTAGTATAATCTGGACTTAAAAATTTGTATGAGGATATAAAGTTACACCACTTAACATTGATGGTTGTAAACACTTTTTTTCCACATAGACAGGTTTGTTCTTTACTTGATCTTTCTTTTGCTGACCCAAAAAAAGGCATGTGAAGGAGGGAGAGGGAGTTAAGGCTGTGACAGTCAGCACCATGCTGCCCAAGGGAATCAGTAAAATACATTTTAAGTAAGGGAGGCACAGTGCCTCCCAGCATTTATACCTCTTTCAAAAACTAATAACTAAGCAGTTAAGGACTCTCTTGATGTGTGGCACGATTTTACTAAAATGCCAGAAACCAGGTGTACCATTAAGAACAAAGGGATGAGTATGCATGAGTTAAGAATGTACAACTGAAGGGAATACCTGGATACATATTTGAAGGTTTTTTTTACATATTCCTATATTTTATAGGATGAAATTAAAAACACTATTATTACATAATACATGCCTTTTCTCATTACCAGAAAAAAGTAAATTTAATAATATGGAAATGACTGTCAAAAACAGTCTCCTCTCATATTTTGAGAACCAAGGTCTTTTGTCATGATTTGTTAAGTGTGACCTAACTCATCTGCTGGAAGAAGCCTAATCATGACAAACGGTAGCTTTCAGCTTTGACAATTTCCTATAACCCTTTTAAAGCAACAGTGTGAATCAAAGTCAGGTTTTGGTGCATTCAGGCAGCTAGGAAATTAATTCCAGAGAAGATGGTAACTCCCCAGACAAGGTAACTTCATCTACTTCTAGAAAGTATTTTTAGAGAGTGTTAACTCACTTTAAGCTACCGAAGACCGCATAGTCTCCTATACTGCTAAGGCCTTCCTCTATGTTTACATGCAATATTATTTGGATCAAAAAATTATCTTAGGACTTATGAACTCAAAATTATTTGCTCTTAACAAGAACTCCTGCATTACGTATGTTCCTTATTTTTTTTTTCTTTTTAAAAGAAGCGTATCAAGTTACATGTTGTTCAAGGTAAAGTGACAGGTAAGTCTTAATTCATTGGGGCAATGGAATATTAAACATTATGGAATAATAAACATCATAATGTCCTCTTTAAAAAGGAAAAAAGCCATTTTTAATATTTATCTGGGCCTGTAATCTGCAGATTTTTTTAATGTGCATTTTATAACGTTGTGCTTGGCTAGCACAAACAGCATAGAGCTGAGAAAAGGAACTGCATTAGCTAATCTGATATCATGGGGGTGGAAATTTCTCAGCGATGAGACAATTAACAGAGGTTTTGGCACCACTCTTCATCTTCCTTTCATAAAGAAATATCTGAAGACAAGTTGGAAATTAAAAAAATAAGCTGCTTGATGAGGCAGATAAACAGACTAATTGCAGTGGATTTCTCTAAAGCCTCTGTTATAGCTGATCTGCTGCTGCTGCTGACTCATACACAACACCTAGCAAGAATGATTCCTTTTTTTAAAGTGTATCCATTTACTCATTCCATTAAAGAATAAGTAGCTTTGTGATTATTCTTTTTCTTAAAGCAATTTCAAGTCTGAGGTCCCTCAGGGACTTAATTCAGATACCTCTTATAGTTTATGAGTACGCTTCAGAGACAGAGTGATAAACAGCAGAACTGGTATTTCTCTGATATCCAAAAATTTCTATCTTCTTCACACTTTAATAACAATTCCAAAAAGTGTTTTTCAGCTTTTCCTTTTGTCAAGAAGAGCTTACTTAAAAACCCACCCAGGCCCCTTAATCCGTGATGAACCTGAGTGTGTGTGCTTCTAGAACGAGCTTACTGCAGCTATTCTTTGCGTTATGAATACATTTCCAAGTACAAGTCCCAAAGATAGTGAAAATTTCTAAAAACAGCTTAGAAACTTTTTAACAGTGCCCCACCCGCAAGGCTTTCAGGACAGTATGGACTGATTTTAGTATTTCCACAACGCATCACGAAGCCCTACAGTCACTTTCATCAGGACTTCATGTCTCCGGAACTTTCCTCTTCTAGCAAGTTTAACATCCCAGATCGCTACTAGCCAGATATGCCACAAGCAGATTTTCTCAGTACGTGGTCTAACCAGATGATTTGAGACAAAATCCCTGAAAATCAAATGGGCTGATTAACAGCTTTATCTTGAGAAAGTATATGACAACCCTTGCAATAAAGTAAGAATTGAAAAATTTGTTCATTGGGATTACAAAGTAACAACAGTAACAGCAGGTTGGCTGCAAGAACTAAATTACTATCTTTGTCATCTAACTGTCACTGTTTCAACAAATCAAATGACTACAACAGCAATTATGCAGTATCATGTTCATATTAAGAGCATCAACAAGAAACAAAAAAACATTCAAAAAGAGTAAAATCCCATATAATGTCATATAGGAAAAAAAGAACTGCTTCTAGCAGACTCTGAAAACACTGTTTAGTAGGAAAAACAAATAATTATTAAAAGAAATCGATAAGGCTGATGAAGGCATTACTAACAAAAAGGGTATAAAAATACGGGTGGTGTGGTTAAGAGCATCACTGTACAACCACTGGTAACAGTTTTAAGAAGACAACAGCAGCTGAAAATCACCAGATGACCTGACAATTCAACATTTTCAAGTAAGGACTTCAAGAGGCTAATAAAGAACGGAAAATGCTGTTCCTAAACTTCAGGGATAATTAGCACGTTTCCTTCACTGAAGAATGAAATTAATGACATAAAAATAGCAAGCACCAAAGCAATCAAGCACTTGGTGGATACTGAAAACAAGATGTCTTATAGTAAAGTCTATTGTTCCTTCTTTTGATAAAAGCATAATGCATTTTTGCCTTATCATGGAAGCGATAGTGTTATAAAAGCCCATCAATTCAAGGCTATCTTACAGAGGTCAGGCTGCAGATAGCAATTTAAGTCCAAGCAGGAACGATAAACTGTTCCCAAGAGCTGACCACGTCGTATTACATATACAACACAAGAATGATTGATATGACTTAAGAGGTTAGGAAGGATATCGGAAGTATGTATATTAACTGACAGATGCTCTCAGATATGAAGGTGAAACACTTTTTGTTGGTTTTTCTTTTTAAACAAATATAACAATGAAGAAATGGAATAGTAAGATGTTACAGAACTAATTCCAAGGCAACTATGCAATCTAGATGACCTTAGTGAAAGGTAAAATATAGAAAATGTACTGTAAAATTCAGTGTTGCATGGCCTATGACAGTATCTATTCCAGGTTAAAATACAGTAGTGAAAACTACCAACATAAAATGAACTTTCGTTAATGATAGTGCTTATTTATCAGTAATAAAATATCCTGTGACCAAAGAAAGATCCCAGAATTAAACATAGAGCACTTTCAGGACAGAAAACACCCCAACATACAAAGTCACTATCAATAATCTCAGATACACTTTTCCTGCTAAAAGTACCTAATACTAAAAATACAGAAAAAAACCCCATAGACAACTCACATGAAACACGATTAAAAGCTACTTGTGTGCAATCCGAACTGGGTTCCAAGTGACCTTTACAAAGCAGCAATATTTAAAACCTATTTAGAAACTCAAGTTTAATCCTAAAACATTCTGTGTATGTGTATACACACATGTGCAGAAAACTAGTAATATATTCTGTATATATGATATTTTTTGTTCTTTACAAATAAAAGTTAGAGGGAATTGTCCATATAGTGTATTTTGGATAAGAGCCTCAGCTGCTGCAAACTTATGCTTCCTCTGTTAAAAACAGAGTTAACTCAGTTCGTACCATCTGAGAATCTGGAAAATTTTTTCCCTCCTATTCAACTGGTATTATTGCTGGAATAAGTATTACTGCTGGAATACTGATGCATTTTGTTTCTTTTTTCAACCCGAGAAATGTTCAGTGAGTTGCTGAAACCTAGAATGTGAAGTGCAACCTCTCATTGTTTAAAGTTACAGGCAGCTTCAATTACAAACATATAGCTTTATCTGTTGTACAGTATTTGAAAATTTACCTTTCGGACCGAAGCCAAACGATTCATCATTAAAGACTCTTCTCTATCATCATCATCATCCAAGTCCAACATGGGCATACTAAAGCTATCGATAATACTGCAGCACCTGGAGTTTTCATCCCTTGGATCAAAGGGATCCACAATGATTGGTTCAGTTCCTTTGATTTCACAGCGGCAGAAAGGACAGCCTTGGCCATCAGATTCCTACAGGAAGACAAAAAAAGTACATAAATTTTAAAAAAAAAAAAGTAGTAATTTTAAAAGTCTTGTATTTTTCTACACAGAAATGCCCTTAACAGGTCTCTAAGTTTGTAAAGAAGCAATGGATTAAACAGGAAACAGATTCACAGATATTTAACTATAGTAAATGGTAAAATGACTGCACTTTTAAAGCTGTCTCTCTTCAAAAGATTAAGCTTCACTTAAAAATAACTAATCAAAATGCAACCATTTTCTCTACAAAGCACTGAAACTGTAATTGTCTTAGTACTACAGGTCAGAAAGTAACACCTTGCCTTTTAGGATTACAATTTTTCTCTTTCTTCACAGGAAAGGCGGTGAGGTGTGTAGACAGAGATAATGCATTTTATTATGTAACTTTTATATTAAATACAAAGTATTTCTTTTTCATTTTAAACTAGAACATGCAGATGAGCTTTAGGGCATGCAGCTTTTATTCTCTGAAGAACAGTCCATCACAGCTGCAACATTACCATCATTCAGTGATATACATACAGAACATCTAAAGCTACAAACATTTTTTGATATGTTTATATAACAAACCAGGACTTTACTACATTTTCAGTAGATTATGTAAAACAAGAAACTATTTTCACATGTTATCAGATACAAGAATTCATTGAATTCTAATTTCTAATTGGTATAATGTGTTAAATGATTTCCAAGCAGCCATATTTCCATTCCTTTTACTCATTTCAGAAATATTTTTTCCTTGTTAGAAGTAATCAAAAGGCCTTTAAAGTAGATTTCAAACTACTAATGAAGAAAAATAGCAGAGAGAAGTCTTTCAAGCACTTATAAAGAGGCACAATGTAGGTTTGAATCTAAAAAACAAAACAACCAACCAACCACAAACAACCCACACCCAAAAGAGCCCTGAAGCCTTGAGCGATCAAGATAATTCAATCTGAATTCAGAAATCAGGCTGTGTCATATTTGCAGCAGGCAGACAGACAGCTAAAAAGATACAAATACCAAAATTAATTCTAAACAACCTACCTATCCTGAAATATCACCAAGCAAGCACAGCTTTTTGATTTCTCAGATGTAAGGATAACTTTAATTTTTCCCAGCATTATTTTTATCTTGACACTTGCCAGTCTTACTAAATTGACAGATGATTTTAGAGTTTGTGGAAGAACTGTATCCCAAGGCCAGATAACTGTAAATGATGTCTCCTGACAATAGTCATGTCTATTTGCATGGTTAGTACTGGATTTTCATTTTGTACAGAAAGATATATGTAATCTACTTTTGGCAGCTTCACCTCCTAATTAGAAAGGATTAGCCAATATCACTTACTATCTCAAAGAGCACCTCCATATTATAGGGACCTACTGAAGTAGTCACTGTCAAGTGAACAGAAGTCCTCCCTTACTCATATCATTCTTTACAGCTTCGTTTTCTAAAAACAGGCTTATAGATGAGGTACAGAGCTTTTAATTTTCAAGGCTTTCTTTTATCTGTGTTGTCAAATAGCTCTGTACTAGCAGTTTCCTTCCTTTCTTTTCAAAAGCAGTAAATTCACCACAAAATACTGGGCAACCAATCACAGCAGCAGAAACTTGTCTTCAGCAGTTTGAATACAACTGAGAAATTAAAACTGAGATCCAAGACACCTATATGAATACACACATTTGTCCATGCCCCCAGAAAGGCTATTTAGAACCTTGCTATCGTGCACCTTACAATGCAGCATACATGCCAATACACTTTTAGAATCAAGTCCAGACATGTAGTTTTTAGACAAGAATAGATTTCTGTGGAAGACAATGACATTTTACTCCTGTTGCATAATACAAAAAGGAAACAGTTAAACAGAGTCCTGTTTCAGAGGCTGATCTCCATAAAGGTGAACAACTCTGAATCATCCTTAGTATTCTATGCAGATCTGACGTTGCTTACTCAATTTTTTTTCTGCTTAGTGAAAACATCTGTATTGGACCTCTTGAGGCATGTCTAACGAGCCATTATGCTGCCAATTAAACACTAGCCCACCAGAAGCTCGTAACAGCTGATGCTGTTACAGTGTTATATTTCTTCATTGCCTCACTAATTAGACAAAAGTTAAATTTGTAATGAAGTCCGAAATGTACCTGGCCAATTACAGCTGGTTGCAATGTTCTGATGAAACTTGATGTTTTCGAACATGTCTGTTATCTAAGCCTAAAATGTTTTGTTGTCCTCTTCCTGAATCCCTAGCCACTGGCTAAAGCACCAAGAATCTTAGCTTCTCAAGTCTCCAGAAACAGAGCACATCACTGGCACAACACTGGAACATGCTGCTACAGACCTCAATTTCAAAACTTTTTTTAAGTCAAAGATAGACACCTCTGTGTTTGTCATTCAGAATGAAACTGGTAAGAACAGAGAAAGAATACTCCTGAAATGAGAAATACTGTTCCAGCTCAGTAGCTGCTTATTTGGGTATGTTTAAAATGGAATTTGCTCAGAATTTCTGAACTGTGGACAATTTGAAAGATTTGTGTTCAGAGCATCAAACTCAAATTTAAGAAAGAACACAAAACCAGAAACTGAGAATGCTCCTTTTCCAGCAAGCTTTATTGCTAATGAAAGAAAAACTCAAATGATACTTCTGATACATCATGTTGTCTTGTCAATGATGATTTCTTAATCAGGAATTTGAAAAGAAAAACCATAGTACTTTAAGTCACATCTCAAACACGAGAATGAAAACTCATTAACTGAGATGAACTCATTTAAAACTGGGTTAAAAGTGGACTAGAGTCAAGGATTCTTTTTACTCTTCTCACTACATTTGTAACCAAAAACTGGTGCCTAACTGTGGAACAGAGTCCTGGCTGAGAATGGGATGACCCTTACTTCTCCCCACAATATACAGATACGAAAGAAGAAAGGGGCAGGGAAAAGGAGGCAGAATTGATTCAGTCTGAGAAGCACCTATTAGGGGAAATTCTGAAGTAGTGAAGAGGAATGACCTCTGCTTTTAATTTTAAGTCAAATGTTTGTTAACTGCACTGAACTAAAGGTACCAGCCCTCCCTTTTCCCACAGACTGGTATGTCCATGAACAACATGGACAAAACACACCAATGTGTGTCACACAGAAAGCTATATGTTTTTTGGGATATTCTCTAAACGACATTAAGAGATCAGAGTTTTCTCTCCATCCAATCTCTTACCCTAACAACTGTCCAAAGCAAGGCAGTTTAGTGCTTTACATATTATTAACATGAAACAAGAATTCTAAGCTTAATTTTCCACAGGCCATTTCATGACTTACACTGCTGATTGAATCCTTCTCTCAAAGACATCCTGTCTCTTTATAAAACACTGTCTAGTCAGTTATCCACTCCCAGCTGCTACCTGTCCTCCTCATGCCTTTTCAATACATCATGAAGTGACCTGGGTGGCTGAATTGGCACCAAATGCCCAGCTTTCACTGTCTGAGTAGATACTATGCTCAGGAAATAGTTTCCACTTAGCAGCAGTCAGCAAATGGCCTTGGCAAGCCTACAAGTCCAGATTTTACTGACTCCTGAAACTTTATTTTTCAGATATTTTGGTCCACAAACTGGAAAAGTTTATAATACATATGTCCTTGAACTCTCTTACTGAGTATCTGGAAAAGTAAACATATACCCACACTGCAAACAGGGATGTAACAGAGAAACGCATCCCGTTCTCCACTAATGGAACCATGACAGTACCTGCCACGCTGTAAGACAAGAAGTGCACATAAGGTGTCCACAAGGCTCTATCTTCACATCCTTGTCATTCTCTGCACAGATTTTACACAGCTGAAACGTGGAACCCATTTCACAGTACAATTCATACTGCTCCTGTAACAAAAGAAAGACAAGTGATTATTTCTTTACTGTGATTTGTTCACAAAGAATATACTTAAGCACCAGTACTGACAAACATTTTTCTGTGTTCCAACCCACTTTACTTATTAGTCAAGGAAACTATTGCTACTGGCCTATTTAAAAGTCACACTAAGGTTACTGAAACAGCTTCCTTTTTTGCTTCTTCAAACCTATGATATACTGCAATACATGCTACAAAAAAAGTTTAAAATATCTGTGCCTATTAGGTTTTCTACAGACTTCTCACATGTAACTACTATGCAAGGCACACATCCCACTTTTCCTTGGTTGCAGTTAAGAGGAAGATAACGAACACATGGTTGTGAGAAATTAAGTGATGAACGGGAACAAAATTGGGAACTCCTCTGCTAGGTATGAGTTTAGGACTAATAAAAGTTATTGGATTGAAAACTGGGAAGCAAAAGGGGTGTCTACCTACAGCAAGGATGTATGGTAGTATGGTTAACTGAAGTAAACAACCCTTGTGAAGAAGTATGGCAAGAATATCCCCCAAGGATAACACGGTAACAGTCATGCACAGATCATTCAGTACTTTGTATCCTCACAAGACTGACAGGAAGTATAAGAGGAATAAATAATAGATAAAACTCAAGTCCAGAATAGTTTTCTAGAATTAGGTACTCTTGGGGAACTGGCAATCAAATGCACTTGTATAGAAATAAAGCTTTTTTTTTGTCTTGAAAAACCAAATTTTGAAAGCTTAAAATAAGTAGAATCCAGGTCACAGGAAAATAAACAGCTACTGCTGAGTAAAGAGAGTGGAGATGAGGCTAAGAGAAAGAGAAAACAAAAGAGACAGCTCATATCTGCAGCTGTAGTCATATGTACTAAAGATGCTTATGGTGGAGCTCTTGCAAAGAAGACATCTGCAGCAATCTAGCCCTGCAGCCACTTTTATATCATCTTTTCATAGTTTAAGCAGCTCTAGTGACAGCTTTAAACTATGGCAGTTATATATCATTTAAGGTGGCATTCACATAGTTCAGAATCTGTTGAGTTACCAGCAGAAATAACTAACGGTGTCCTCATAACTACAAGTTCAGAAGCAACTGGATTCATTCAGTGAATTCAACATACAACATGATTGACTTGCGAAGAACAAGGTAATCACTGAGACTGTCTAAGGTGCTTTTCCTTTTCTTGAGGAAAAGTAAAGATATGGGGCTAGAAGACCATTCTGTGCAACACAAGTATCTGATATCTCTGTGTTGCGCTCTCATTACTATTTTAAGACTGGATGGAAAAGAGAGAAGTCAGAGAAATGGAAGTACTCAGACTTTCCCCAGACTCAGAGTATCTGTTCCTTACTTAGGAAACAGATACTTTCATAATGGTATTCCTGACAATACCAGAGATGGTAATGAATACTTGTTTTTTAAAATATTTCTGGAGGTGGGATGCACATAGAGCACTCAATTACAGAAGATCCAGCAGGTCATCCAGTCTGCTCTGAAGAAATGGAAGACCATCTGACAGTATGCCTTGTGTCTAGTCTGATGTCTTTCCTTGAACATATCCTCAAGTCTTCCAGATGCTTTTGTCAGCAAAAATGCTCTATACATCACTCCTTAACCTTCTAGTGTTAATTTCAGCACCATTTTTAATCTAGCATTGTCTTGTGGTGGCTACTTTCTATTGCTTGAGTATCAAACATCTGCACATTAGTTTATCACATCATCACTTTACAACACTACAAACACATCTAGATATCCTAATTTTCTCTGCAAAGTGACTCTGTTTGGGTACTTAATCATTTCTGTTGCTTTTCCCTGATCTCTCTTTTAATTTGCACAATAGACAAAGAAGAAAGGAAAGAGACCCTGAAACTAGTACCTTTGTGATATATGAACTATACTTTCCCTCCTGGACCTGCCAACAAACTGTACCATTCCTATTCAGGCTTCAAAAATATCATTTGATCTTGATTTTATTTCTGCATTCCCACCTGCTATTAGCAAGGAAACACCAAGCTACATAAACCTGTAACATAAGTATCAAAAAAATCTTTAATAACCGTTAACACACTTCTCACTTCAAGGAGGCTTAGAATAAACAAAACTTTCCAAGGCATGTCATCTGCATCACCATCAGCTCTGGAGTTTAAAGTATTATTATCCTGTTCTTCATCTAAGCCCTTCTATCATCAATGTATTTTCACTCTTATGAATGTATTTCTCAGATTTTAATAAAAGCTTATTATCACTGCTAGATGAGATACTAAGGGAAGTGAAGATTACAAAATAACTGACAAACTCTGCAACATACCTGTGTGACTTTTATGTGATCATGTGGTGTGGGTTCACATAATCCTGTCAAATCAGGATTATAACTTCGTCCGTCTGGGAACAGGTAGCTGCATCACAAGAAGATTGTTATAAATACTTACATTTCTTTAGCTCTATTAGCTAAATAATACCTACGAAATTTCAAAGGGGCAGAATAAGTTACAGTAGACATTAACTAAAATGCGCCATCTTTCTTATCTTTTGGGTGCAAATGAATTGCTACATATACATTTTGACACATGCTCAAGGCTATTCATAAAAGCACAGGAAAGATTTTGACATCACATGCATGGCTACCACCAGAATGCATATAAGCTTTGATTAGCAGATAACTTTCTGGGGGTAGCTCAACAGAATATTATTTTAGATCTTCATTGCACAGTGAACTTATACTTGCATGCTCCTAGTGATCTCTCCACTGCGAGCATCACGCTTGGTGACTCTCTAGACTGTTTCAAAGAAATGGACCAGAATAGAAGGTAACACACATCTGTGTCTATCTATGTGTACTATAATATATATAATATTATATATATTCCATAGTATTATATATTTTATCTGTGTATATTATGACGTATTTAAAACCACATATATTATGACAAGCACCTACAGTGAGAATTCAAGATGTAGACTGGCATTTAAGCAAGAACTGGTGGGAGCATTTCAATCCTGTGGGAAATTAATCATGGGTTAAATGACATTACAGATACTCTAAGTTGTTCTATATTCAGATTTATGTTACCTCTAACTTGGAAACAGTGTCTCGAAAGTCATTGTGTTAAGTCACACTGTGAGAAAGGTGTATTTACATAGGGTACAAATACTTCATTCTGCATTAAATATTCTCAGCTCTAGTTTTTGTTTGCTCAGTTTTTGTCAAGTAGAAACACTACCAATAATAAGTGTGGTTTTTATTACATGTATGAAATCATCATACCTGAAAAACAATGACTGAACTGTGCAGGACTGAGAAAAATTGCAAGATTTTAAAGGGTTTCTCAATCTTTTTTTGAAGGTTGATCAATTTTCCCATGGGTTTTTTGTTTTGTTTTTTCATTGAATCATGTGGATATATCAAAACATGTCTCCCAGTGAAAAGTTTCTGACACCAAAAATTTGTCTGTTACTTCAGCCAACCTAGTAAAAATGTACTACTACTCCCTATAAACTTAGATTCTTTTATAATTATAAATCTTTTCAGTAAAGTATTAGAACCTGGAAAATGTCCTGGCTGCACAATATATAAAAAAGCAATTACATGGCTTTCAAATCATGGTCCAGAGTTAGACACATGAGTAACTGGCAGTAGTAATTGTTCAATAAGCTTAAGTGCATTTGGGACTTTGGGGGAGGGAGAATCAATGTGACAGTTGCCTGATTTTATTTTCTCCTGGAATTTATCTGCTATGAGATATGGCTTTGGTTAACTTTCCTTAACTTTGGTTAATGGAATTAGCTGGAAGCAAGTGTTTTTCAACTGAATAAAAGGGATGGTCCTTAAACTCCGAAGGAATGCTGAACACCACATCCAGATTCTCTGCTTTAAAGATCTTTAATAACTACCCATATAAGCTTTAGAAGAACAAGGAAATCAGGGTTTCATACCTATGGTGACTATAGGAATTTGTACTTACAATCCTTCCCGGCTGCCATCAATCAAAGCTTGAAACAGAGGCTTATTGTGAGGTATGGTCTGCAATATGTTCCCATCACCAGTCACATATCCAATGGCCCACTGTCCCAAGCGAGTGCAACTCAGTCTGAAAATGTAGCTTGATAAAAATAGGATGAATAAAAAGTCAGTGTTAATCAGAGTTCCGCAAAACAAGTGAAGAGAGCGAGGATGGCCTCTGGTTAAGAACACAGAATTAGGTCTCTGAAGATCTGGGTCAGATTCCCAATTCTGCCATGTGTTCATTGTATAACCTTAAATAAACCTGCGTCTTCTACGCTGTCAGCTCCTCATGGACAGACATAAGGTAACAGTAGCACCCTACCCCCAACTTTTCATTTGCTTGCTTTTTAGTTCTCAAAGTGAAAGTTGCACATTCACTATGCATAGTTCTATTACATACCTTTAGACATGCCCATAAACCTTCTCAAGAGCAGTGTATTATGTTATCAAGTCTCTATTGCTACAACATATACCTTTTGTGCATACACAGGCCAATAACCTGAATGAATGAATGGGGAAATATAAAACATCTTTAGTTGCAACAGAAATGTGAACGAGGAATAATAAAATCTGCTCTACTAGCAATGTTAATTTTGTGTGTACCAGAGGAGGTGAACAGGACAGAAGAAGTATCACTTCTACTTCAGAAAATACCAGATAATACCAACCCAAGTGGACTTAAATTTAAATGCTTCTGTGTGTTACAGATGATAGCTGGGAGCACACATAATGTAGTCAGAGAGCACAGCAGGAGGAAAAGGAAGCCTATAGGCAATAGTATCAGGCACGTTTTGTTCTTCTTACTAAAAACTCTAGTCCCTTTCATGTCAGACACCATCTCATATGCAAAAACCTCACTCAGAATAGCATCCCACAGTGAAATACCACAAATTCAATATTGAATTAGACAGCAGCTTTTCTTAATTATACATCAGTATTTTATTTCCTTCCAAACTGTTTAAAATGAGAAATCTTAGCCTCCCTGAAGTTTGGCATAGGTCTTACAACCTTCAATAGGGCCAACATTACATTGAAGTAGTAACTATTCATTTGAACACAATCTTGTATTTCCAGGGTGTTTTAGACAGACTAAAGAAGCAATTTCACTTCCTATCTCCTCTCTCACACTCCAGTATTTCACCTATGCAATTCAGAAAGTCATTGTCCGATATGCAATAAAAGTTATCTTAAAACTAACTCTCTATTTACAAGGAACTTAAAGGCAACTTTGGATAATTTCTCTATTACTTCTCTTTTATAATCACAGAATCAGAAGCAATAGTTGAGAAAATACTAAGTATATCAACCACTCTCAAAATCAACCTAGTTATATGACTTCTGTAGCAGTGTTCATGAGTGCCAAGCTAAAAATTAATGTTATTCTATGGGAACCACAAGATCCTTGTCTATATACACTTGACCAGTCAGGTAACATAACAAGATATAGTATATAGTTTGCTAAAAATCAAGAGAAACAAAATACAGAATATGGGTATAGCTCTTGATAGACTTCTCTAACAAGTTTCAAAATTATGCACTTTTAACAATGTATACATGTGAGCCTGCAGCAAAGTTAGACAACTAGACATTAGGGAAAAAAGCTTCATAACTGAAAGGTAAAACAAAATAAAAGGTAAAGCAAAATAAAAGTTAACTAATACAGGATGAAAGCCACCAATGAATTTTTATTTCTCCAATCTGAGTGAAGAAAAAACAGGACAGCAGAAGTGGCATAAATGGTAAACGTTCAGTTTGACTAATTCAGTATGTAGAGCATTACACAGAAATTATTTAAAACTCTACACTTCAAAATGTTTAACCTGACAGACTCCTTTTCTAGGTGCAGAGTTTGTGATATAGAATCATTACTGGCAAAAAAAAAAAAAGAACATAAAAGGAACATATAAACACTGATTAAATTCATAATTTAAATATGCTACCATGGAAGACGTTAGGATGATTCTTACTTTACTAAAGCAACAATTCAATGCAAATTTTGAAAAGCAAATTATATTTTCAAATGTTTTTCAAGAACGCATTGCTTGTGGTACCTAATTCAGAAGAAAGGAAAAGCAATGTAATCTCAACTTTTTTTCCTGTTTATTTGTGCTTATTTAGACTTCCGTGTGCTAATACATTATTTTTTTGCTTCATAGCACTGTAGAATTATGGCATAAACACCAGATCACGGTTACAAAATTCTTATGTCATAAAATTTTTTTGAATGTGGTGTTCTGAGCTTTAGTATGAAACTATTTTTAAAAATACATTTTGATACAAATCAAATCACAAGTATATAAAAAACCCCCACCTACTACTTCTCTGACTCACTCTGTTACAAAAAAGGAAAAAAAAAGCCAAAAATTCACTCCTTCAGTATTGCAGCGAGTGTAAGTATCACGCAATACAGAAGTATGAGCCTAGAATAATTACATAGCTTCTGAGACAGCAAGTTTACTGGGAAAGCAACAACCAGCAAAACCTCTTACCTCCCAGGCTTAGTGCTATATTTTTGCAGCCTTGCTTTCACTTCATCATATGTCAGGAATGCCATATATCCAGGATGCGTCACAGCTAAGAAGTTCCAATTCCTTAAGATTGAACCCCACGGCTAAAAAGAGAAGACAAACAATTAAACAGATGCAGCCAGGTACTTACATATTTCTAATAAAACATAAGACAATTTGCCAGAGACCTATAGTGTTTTAGCTTCAGCTGAAAAATACGTGCTTTCAGTTAAGGTCTAAATAGTACAAAAGACTGTCCTATATGCCCAGCTTTGCTACAAGGGTTCCTTCAAAAGAATAATCTCAAGAACATGAAGTTACATTTTTGGATAAAGATTTTGAAGACTTTGAGTTTAAGGGATCTCCTATTTGTAGTTACATAAAACATTAAACATCATGTTTAGTTAGGTCCTGGAGAATATGGCTCCATGATGGTTTAATAAAAACACAGTTAAGCCTATTTTTGAGAGGTCCTGAGGCACCTTCATAGCTAATGATAAGTAATACTAACAAATGAAGCCTAATAAAGCCACTAATTTGAGCTGTCATTCCTTTTCTAATTCTCTACCACTTGATTTCTTCAGTTACCATAATGGTATTACAGCCAGAAAACAAAACAAATATTGACTGCACTTCATCACAGTCTTTGCTGACCTGAATAGCAAACACTTCAGAAAACTCAGTGAAACATGCCTGGTACGCTGTCGCTCTGAAGAACACAGAACAGTCCTTTACTGAAAATGAAGGATGATTTTTTACATAGTGGATTAATACAAAAATATTAAGTGTTCATTGCCAGTATTTGGAGAGACAAGAAACTGCCTCTGAATAGTTTGGAAATTTTATATGTATTTGTCAAAAGATCAAGGCAGGTGAAGATAAGCAAGACAAGAGAAGAGGCTTGTGTTCTTGTGTGCCCTGCAACGCCCTTTCAAAGGACTTCTAAGGGTTAGTAAGGCAGAGATGAAATGCCTGTGCAACACACTGGAGCAGAGTATCCTAACAGTTCTGCTTGAGATTATGACACATTTCCCAGGCAAACCCTAACCACTACTTAAACATGGATGAACACCTGTCTTATTTTAAAATTGATACCTCTTCAAACCAGACACATGAAATAGAACAGTAAGAATTCAGTATGGAGACCATAAGAAACCTCAAGCGTTCAAATTTGTAGAAAAGGAAGGAGAAAAAAAAACCCAACCCACAGTCCTAGATGCAACATCGCATCTTGCCAGCTCCTCTCTGCACCCTCACCAAAGATGGATGCCAGGAGCCTTCATCACATGAAAAATTTTAGTTGCCCTAACTAGAGAAAGAAGGGAGTTGACTCATCCTCTTTCACCACACCAACACCGACACTTCCTTCACAAAAACACAGCATTCTTTCTCCTGTTGTGTTACTCAAGTGCATGCATGTAAATCAAAACCAATGACCAAACACTCAGTACTTTGATGCTTTGTTGGACCATGGTAATATAAAGGCATTATAAAATAAATTCAAGTAGCGTGCGTATTCCCTGGTTGATCACCAACCATCAAGCTTCTAAGTTGACGGTAGACGGTATCTTCCTCAAATGATCAGACTCTCACATCACACTACTGCTATACCTAGAAAATGATGTGACAGTGCAACTGAAACATCAAAAGGGCAAGAGCTCATAGCTTGCCTTCTGCATACCAACATAAAGTACTACGAAAGCACAAATGTTAAACGGGAAAAGATTTGTAGACTTTCTTTTCTATGGAAGTGCTTTTGCATAAAAGGACACCTTAACTGAACATGTTAACAGTGACAGAATGAAGTTCCTTTCCTTCAAAGCATCTACATAGTCTGCTGCACTAACTTTATCTATGGTCAGAGAAGACAGCACTTATAGCTGTGCATGCCTATAGCAGGGAGGCAGGGGGAGCAACTTCACTTTTACAGGATCTCCATAAAAAGCACTCTTGCTTTCTTCTGTGAATAACCATCATTATAAATGTAGCTTTTCTGCAACACAACCCACAGTTGGCAAAACAGTATTTTGATTACTTAAACTATTGGGATTTTCTCTCCGTGGGTGTATGCACGCATAGTTACAGAATCCGTTAAAAAAGGAGAGAAGTAAAATGTAACCTCTGGGAGAGGTTCTCAGACCAAGTTCAGGGCAAGTTCACTTCAACAGCTACGCAGCCACTGCACCAGCTGGTAATCTGTTTGGCAAAAATTCTCTGTCTGCTTCTTTGTTAAATTAAAAGTTAATCCTAACCAGTCTTCTCTCCTTATGTGTATCAGTACTGCTGACCCCCTTTTTCTAGCACAAGGCATGGCAATGAATCAAATCAGCAACAGCCTTGCAAAGAACCTAATGCAAACAGATATTCATTGGTTTATAGAACAAGGAAAATAAATCTCACCTGAGGCTTCTGTCCTGAATTTAATGCAATCTATAGGACCTCACATAGGGTCAGAACAAACTGTTACTTCTCAGATCACTAACTTCTCATTTAATATTTGATGTACAGATTAAAACAAAACAAAACAAAAAACCCAAACCCTGTTATTATTCATAAGCGGAATGGTTAGGGGACAAAAATCCTACAGAAGGGCACATTAAATAAATGCATTTCATAGTGATATATGTTGCAGCCAATGGGCCTCAGATATTTTGCAGTCAAGTCTGAGATCAAGATCTGGGCTTGATTACTAACCTGAACACTATATTAGTTTGCCAAATACTGAATAAAAGGGAAAAACTTTGACAGAGTAGAAACTGATCCCAAGGCAGCAACATTCAGACAGGAATGCTTGATCATATCAAGCTCCGCATAAAGGGCAAAGCTTAGGGGGATTTTGCTAAAGCAGCATAAAGTACAATGATCTATATTCTCTAGTTTGTTATTTCATCGAAGAGTACCCCCAAAGTTTTGTTCAAACCTCCATAACCTGTGTGTGTTTTAATAAGTGACCAATGTTTGTGGTTAAATTAAACAGCAAGATTACTTACACCATAACATTTTCAACTGTGATACAGTTTTGACTCAGAACGGAGAAGAGATGATCAGAATCGAAACTCTGTAAACTAAAACCATTAATCACCTCCTGTCAAATCTTAATATCAACTTCGTAATGGCACCCTTTCCCATAACAGCAAAACCAAGAAAGCTAAACAGAGATTACCACAGAATAACATGGAAGACAGAACAAACATATGGTCCAGGCTTTGACATAAAATTGGTATTTTGCATATATCTCCAACAGGTTAAAGAATAATCATAGAATCATTTAGGTTGGAAAAGACCTTTAAGATCGTCCAACCGTTAACTTAACACAGTCAAGTCCACCACTAAACCATGGTCTTAAGTGCCACATCTACATGTCTTTTAAATACCTCCAGGGATGGGGACTCAACTTCTTCCCTGGGCAGCCTCTTCCAGTCCTTGACAACCCTTTTGGTGAAGAAATTTTTCCTAATATCTAATCTAAGCTTCCTCTGGCACAACTTGAGGCTGTGCACCAGTTTATTACTGTACGGGGTAAAGAAAGTAAACAATCAAATAAATGGTTGTATACCCCAAAGATTCCTATATACAAAAGAAATATCCAAAGTGACAAATTCAGAATCAGTACATCCAATATGGATGCAAACCAGCACAGCCTTCTATATTGACTAAAATACTTCAAGTGTGTTCTGTAGAAGGGATACAAGGTTAACAGAGGCATGTAACATACATACAAGTTTGTTTCAGATAAATATTACCTATTAACAATAATACAATCGATGTTATTGCCAAAGATAGTTCCTCATTGTAAATAAAGAGCAGAGCGCTAATGGCAAAAATATGTTAATAAAGAAAAGAAAGTTAGGCCTACATTTAGCCTAAAAAAAAAAGTCATATGCGACTTTCATTACGTTTGTAGAAACACTTCATATAAGTATACACAGATACAAAAGCATAGTGAAAACACAAGTAAAACTTAGGTAAGTACCTAAAGGTCTATATTTCTAGGAATGCACTTAAGAATAGTGAAAAATAAGTAAGCAGCAAACACAAAGATATTGTAATCATACTAAATATACGCAGAAATGAAGCAGGTGTTGCTGCATGTTTTCACTTTTTCAGATGTAGGTGTTGATGCCCCAAACATCTCTGAAGGACTAAAAAAAAAACACGCACATTTCTGAATTCTAGTGTTTCAGTTTTCCCAACAAATCTGCTTCCTTGACCCACAGGTACTCACCTCAGTGCACTAAGCTTCTCAAATGCATACAAGTATCTAAAATTTTCAAATCTTACCTGAAATAATCTAGTGAAGATATCAAATTCAAAAATTGAAATGTAGTCATTGCAGGTCAAGTCAATTGTAGATTTAAGAGCCATTGCTTCCAAACCAGAGCTTATCTGATGAACTTCATGAAGGCACTGCCTGAACACTTTCCATGGCACTATAGTTCTGTGAAAGGGGTGGAAATAGTAAATTTAATAAAACTATATATTTAAGATTTGATACCTTACTTAGACATCAGAACTGGACTTCTAAAGAAGTGTAACATTAATTTGGTTTCTTTACAGACAAAAAAAATAATAATAAAGTTTTCTGAAAGCAGGCTAAGCAAATGAAAGAATGGTTTGCCTTCCTTTAAACACGGTCAAACAAAGTGTCATTTCTTTTACAGTGATAAATATTCAAGCTTCCTTAGGAGGAGAACAAAAAGAACACTGCAGAAACTGAAATATCCAACCAAGCAGGTGTACCAACCAACCCACACCCTCTCAAAGATAACGTAACGGACCAGCTCTGTGCTTGGTAAAGAATTCCTTTCTTCACAGCCTCTCTTCTCAGAATGATAAGCATCAGGTTATTATCTACTGTGATGACATTTTTTATAGCTAAATCTCATAAACGCTGGTCAAGTAACATGATAGCAATCAACCATCTACCACTGATACTGGTCCAAGCCTGTCACAGCCCATGATGGTTACATGAATATTAGAAGACACAATTTCTCAGATCTTTAGCTTCACACATTTTTTCAGGATGCGGAGTATTTTCAGACAGTAGTGAATGTGGGAAAAGGTGGGAAATCGGAACAGAAGCAAATTAAAATTATCCCCTCTAATATAAAGCCCTGTTCTGTCAAATTCAGTTTCTATTTGCATAGTCAAAGATAATATAGATTAGTTATTTTGCCAATCAAGGGCTTGCATTTGGAACCTGACATGAGGCTGATCACTTGAAAGTGTTGTATTTTATCACTCTCAAAACTATGACAAATTGTTCAATAATAGTAATTCTTCTTCTCATGTAATCAGGGTCAAATCTGAATTTTGCAAAGCCGTAACACCTCTTTAAAAAGTTCTGCCTCACATTGACAACAGATTATAAGATATTTTAAAAATATTTTAATTAACCAAAATATAACCAACACATAATTATTAACTAATATCTATTTTCAAGATTTAACAAGATCTCACACATTCATAGTAATATTTTATTAATAACTGCTAAAATGATAAAAGACACAGGTCTCAAACTTATCAATAGTTCTTGCAATTTTTATTATTCCACATTGCCTTATTTTTATAAGAGACAAAATATTTTATCCTAGTTTCTCTGTTTTCTTATGCAGAATTGTACATTACTTGGTAGTACAGTACTGTGGGAAAAAAAAATAGACCAACCAACTGTATTAAGTTGGTCCTGCATAATAAATATTATGGAGTTAATCTACATTAAAACAAGTAGTAATTTGAAGTACAACACTAAAGACATGCTTCTGTATTTCCACCGCATCAGGCATTTACTACATTTGTAAGTGCAAAGAAATCTACTTGTTACTTGGAGGCTTATATTGAGAAAGTAATAAATGATAAAATGTGAAGTTTAATACTTTCATCTGTGTACGAAAAACAGGAAACCACAAAGAGCTGAAGAGAGATACCACATCAGATGCCATTTAAGAAAGAATGCACATCAAATTTTGATTATGGTAAAGAGAGAATGAAACGCACTAAGTTCAGAGAACAAAGTTAGAAAACGTCAGTGCTTTTATGGTGTTAAAGTCGTATTAGTTCAAGTGCCTACTGCTTATTTAGTTCCTGTAACAGGGGCTCTGAAATGTTTTCCGATTCTCTTTGTAGACCACCCTAAATGGTTACAGCACTGGGATCACACTGAAATGGAGTTAGAAAAGTTTGGGTTTTTCCGGGGCGACAGGGGTTACCTGGGGGGTTTGTTTGGTTTGTTGTTTTGGTTTTTAAGGGCTTAAGACAATAACCCTTAAATAAAAGCCAACAGAGAATCTATCAGGAATGATTGTAGCCATACTACACCTTAAGAACTGCTTTTTCATGCCTCAGCTGAGGCAGTTTCATGAAAACATGTTCATTAGATGCAATTAATAAGTAGGAGCTTCCGTTATCTATTCACAAATACCCTGCGCCCCCAAAACCCCAACAATGACAGAGAAAACAAACAAAAGTCTTCAGGAGAATATGTTTTCAGAGCTCTGTTGGCTAGTACTTTGGCTAAGACAGAAGCCAGATGTTGTGAAATGAGCGAATAGCTAATGAAATAACATCTAAAGTTATCTTGATGGACTCTTCCAAGAACAAATGTCTGAAAAAGTGGTGACCCCAATTTAAAATTCACTAAATTCAGCAGATTTTTTTCTGCAGCTTTGTGGAACAGGTCTTTTGCTTTCTTAAATAAAGGCAAAGATTGGTTGTTGAACCACATTAACTTCTATTTCTCAGCAGCTATTTTTATATAGCTATCATTCCTAAATACTTTGAAACAGCACCAGCCAGGGACCGTTTCTCCCTCAGCATCTCTCTCCGGTTTACACACACAAATTGCTGTGCTCTTTTGAGACCTTGCAGACAGCACACACTCACTCAAAATGCGGGTGTTATTGAGTCTTCACAAGGTGAAGGATGCAGCAACATCCTCTCCTCCGGCTCCCACCGTACCGCAATGGGGTGACCTTTCAGACACTGAGAACCACCCTCCTCGGAGAGACCTAGGAGGGGCTCATGCCGAAAGCTTCCTGCAGCGATGAGGGGGTCAAAGAGGCTTTTGCAGACTGCTGGCAAGCCAAGTTTCTGTTTGAATCACCATTTCACTGCTGTTGCCTTCTTGTGTTTTAGGGGATATACAGCCTTTGAAGGTACATTTTGATTATTTAAATCTGAATAGTTATGTGAATTGTTCGGGTAGGAGGCAGGGGCAGTGGGAAGGGGGAAGAGAACAGGGCTAATCAAACTAAGGTTGAGATTGGGACTGTCCTAGCTAATACCATGCTTAGATTGTTGAGTTTTTTATATATATATGTATGCATGTGTATATATATATATAAAATTTTTTTTTTTTAAACAGGAAAAAAACATTTTGCCTTTATAGAAAGAAAGAACAGGATCCTGTTTGTGATGAAATTCTGCATGCAACGTTCAGCTCCTGAACCACAGAAGGTGCCTCCTACAAATATTTTCAGTGATCTTTGTCCTTGTACTATTTGTTGCCTCATGCCCTAACGATACCCTGCAGCAGAGGCTGGCAGGTATCCTGCACATGCCTCATGCTATTAGGCTGACCTGTGGATACTTGTCTAGGAGGAGATGAGTTAGTCAGCTCTGCTACAGCTCATCAGAAAGATGTGATTTGACATCTGGTAACATTAGTTTTCTACAGAATTAGGTTGAGGAAGTGCAGTGCCTCAGTATTTCAGATATTCAATGGTAGCTACAGAAGCTATCCCTTGCAGTAGAGCGGATATGACTCCAGCTGAGACAGCATCTCACGTGACAGGATGGTCCTACATAGCGACTGTACTTCCCTCAAATGTTTGATGTCCAAAGTCAAGAGCCCTACTACACATGTGTATGCACACACTATGAACAGATATATCTAGGGCTTTGGTAGCATTTTTATAATACAATTGGGGGAAAAAAACAGGACATTGAAGTAAAACAAAAATATCTAACTACATTACATGTACATAGTGTTACTGCACTACATGTTCCTTTATTACAACCTTCAAGTAGTTCCAAATCTTCAGAGAGATAATTTTAGAAGGAAACAAAAATTTGAAGGAAGTCAAACGCACACCTTGTACAGCAGAAAAAGGTTATGGAGGATCTTCTACAAGGAAAACCTAATCTCTATCTGCCAAACTTTTAGGAAACGATTCATCCATACAGTGTCTTTGTACTGCCTTTCCTCACCACTAGTGTAGAAGCAAGTCCATACCAATTTAAGGAAAGAAAATGCAAAGTAAAACAAATGATCCTGAATAATTTTTCCTGAAGAGGCTTTCTGCACATATCTTGTCTCTCTCAAATCAACAAAACTGTCTGTCTCTTGGTATTTACCTTGGGGTTGTTTTCTTACTTGAGTCCTGTCAAAAACCCTAAAATAAGCCATTTCTTCCCCAAGCCTCTCAAAATGATCCTACTTCTCCACATTTCTTCTGCAATAGTAGAATTAGCAAGTGTATTTGAAGAATGATGAATTAAAAAATGTTCTGATCAAAGTATAAGCTTTGTAGAAATATTTTTATATAGGATGGTATCTATTTACTACTATTGACACATGTCAAAGGGAAGTGTCACTCTATAATCTCAAATATAGTATTCTAAACACCATCCACCCAACTTCCATAGGCCTAAAGGAGAAGGATTAGTGTCCAGCATGTAATTTTCAAGCAATTTAGCAGAGGAATTTAAGTCCTCCCTTCCCTCCTGCCCTGACTATGTGTACACAGGATTTTCTTAAACTCCCTGAATATTGCTCCATTATTAAAAAAGCAAAAGACACTAAAAGAAACCTGGAGAGGAAGCAAATATTTTCTGAGTGTGCAGAGTACAGCACTTCAGTAGAACTGCAGAGATGCAGCCATTCTGGAATGTCAAGTGACACTGCTCTCATTTGAAGCAGAGCAGACCACAAGTACATCTAGGAAGGTAAACATGTACCTGTGTAACTTACAGTGAACATTTTTGTCTGCAAGAGAGACTCTCAAATGTTGCCAGAGAACATAACATGAAAAGGGCATTACTGTACTCAGAACAAACGCAAAAACATTCAAGCAAATACTGACCCAGATAGAAACAAGATTCTTTGCAAGTCTGCAGTGATGAATGTGGATTTTGGTTTATCATCACTGAAGAGAGCATTTTCTTAAGACTGCTGCTTCAGTTTTAAGTGAGAGGCCCCATGTTTTCATTGCTTCTGAACTGCAGAGCAAACAATTGACACACAGAAGGCTTGAGAAGTTCAGTCCTAAGGGAAAAAAGGAATTCTGCCATATCGTGCCAGTACAATCATTAAATAGTGACATCATGCAGAACAAATATAGATGAATCTAACATGAGAAAAGAGAGAAAATGAGCCTTATGGTACAGGGAAAATATATGACCAAAAATATCCACTTCCAAAGCCACATAACTGGACAT